AACCTTCGCGTTCGAAGACAATTTCAATCCTACAAGCCTAAAATTTGGAAACAAGCAGCTGCACGATCTGCCAGTTACAACTTGATAGAATTATATGTTCAGCATATAGATTGACCTTTTTCGCATAGGTATTTGGTGCTCAAGCTGGTGGCAATCCGCTGGATACGCATTGGAATTTGGGCGGTCGGGTTGAAACTGGCGTTCCCATTTATCAGAGCCCAAATGGTCAATTTTCGGTGGGCGTTGGCGGTTGTTATGGCCACGATTTTTATGGTGGGCCGGTATGCTGATTAAAAGGCAACAAAGGAGAATCATATTTATCACGAATATTCTGATGGAAATAGAATTTGATTGCTACAAAGTTCGGCAAAACATATTTGTGGCAAAAGTTTTAGAAAACAATGGTTCGCCAGCTTTTCACTATAGAGACACTTTAGCAGAGCTGGAGAACACTTCTAACATTGAGTGTCACCTGGTTTTCAAAAGCTATGCAGTAGACCACGTTTAAAAAACGGTCAAGTTTTAACTTAATTTGATCCAAATTTTATGACATCCTATGAAAGTATCCAGATAGGCAGAATTTTTTCTCAGTAGAAGAAACCTTATTTTGAATCTTTTTACCTTAGCTACAGCGTCAGATAAATCTGTATTAATTTTCAAAAGCCAACGATAATGTGAAATACCGATATGAAAGTGTAAGATTGTTGTTAATAACTTTACGTCAGACGACGTCATTCTAACTTTAGCATTATGTTGCTTTTTATTTACAACTTTCATTGTAATTGACCATGTCTCATTCCAAGTCGATTGTTCTTCATCACTTAACAAGCGCATGAGTTCAAGAATTATTACTAAAATCATGAAATCTTTTTTGTCGTCGTATAAATGGATACTGATCTGTAACGAAGAATAAACAAATTACTGTCTACTGGTGATATGGTCTGGCGGTTTTTCATTCTGTCACGTTCAAAACTGAATATTAGGTGGTATTTGATTGATTTTGAAATTAAAGGTTTGTCCAGTATATCTGCGGCGAATGCCTCTACTAGATATGCTTGTGTGCAACTTTGCAGACATAGCTAGTTTTTCGTGCCAACCAATAAAGCCAAGTGCCTTACTGCATTAGAAACGCTGAACACGACCTCTGACAGTACGCATTTAGTCTTCTAAATTTCATAAAAATTCATAAAGAATCGCAAAAATATCTTTTATCGCGATATCTGTCGATGAATTTTTCCGTTAGATAAATAGTAGAAAAATGAGTGACGTGTGGATAAAAATTTCATTTATAGCAATAAATTTATCGAAAATGCCCTGCCCTCATGGGTAGTTTTCCTCCAAAGGAAAAAATGTAGGTTTTTTGTTGCGAAAACTAGTAGCTTTTTGGAATCTAGTTATTTCATTGATGGTTTCCTGTTTAATGAGTACATTTTGTTGATAACAATTACAATTGTTATCAATAAAACTGGTAATTGTACAAATGTATACATTTGCATACAAACTATAGTTTGTATACGAGATCTGACTATAGTCAGATCAAACAAAACTACAACATTATTCAGATGTCGATTATTTTGGGGTTTTTTTGAAAATCAAAGGTGTCTTTCATAGTACTGGAGCTCTTTGGTAAAACCGATCAAGAATATCGTCAACTTTTGAAGAATCTATATATGCTTTCAAAATAGTCAATACATTCCTATTTGAATTTCAGAAAATCCAAGCTAGTTTTTCAAAGATTCTCTGAAAAACCGGCTTCGCAAATGTTTCCGATTATCGACTTTGCTTGTGAGAAGGTAGCTTCAGGCGTCTAGTTTCCGAAACTAAAACCACAGAGCTCGATCTTCATTTCTCTCTGAGTTATTCAAAAATATCAACCTGCATAATATTCTCGAATGGATAATGTATGAAAAAAGTGCTTGACTCCTGCTTCAAAACAGTAGGATATGTGGGAGTTTTGGAAAGCTCGTTTTCTGGGTGAGTAGATTTAAGTTTCAGCTTTCTCGACAATCTATGTATAACTATCTAAGCCACGCTATTCGAATCTGTCTTCAAATTTATTATAGCTAATATGGTTCACGAAAATTAAAGTTTTTGTCTCAAGTTTATATTTAATAACGATTAACGACCTAACAGTTATTCACTTAAAATAATGCATTGTTTTCTATATTTGCCTCGTAATCAGTATTAATGTCCCAATTGTATTCAAATGTTGACAAAACGTTATGCACATCAAAGCACTTACCGATTCTGTATGGAGATATATTCTAGGCGTTTGTTCTGTTCAACTTCGTCAGGAAAAGTCGTAGACACAAAATTTTTGCGCCAATCGATGCACTATCCAACAGGCTATACACTATACAATTTAAAGTAGTAAAAAGCCCACTTTCGGCT